ATTCTTTGGTTATCGTGATTAAAAAGGATTAAAAATTAAATAATCAATTAAAATTCATTAAAACAAGAATAATCAATTATAATCGATTAAAACTGATTAAAATCAGAAATAATCGAATAAAAGGCAAGAAGTCTGATTAAAATCGATTAAAATTCAAGGAATCTGATGAAAATCGTCTCATTTTAATCGATTTTTAATCACAAAAAATCGATTAAAATCCCGTTTTTTCTTGATTTATTTTTACATGGGAATTCTCTTGTTAACAAATCATTAAATAAATCTCGAAAACAAATTCCCAAATAGATAAAAATAATAAAAAGAAAACTGTTCGCTGTTTTCAGAAGAAGTAAAAAAGTCTCAGTGAGCTTGACAGTTCATTTGACTATAAACGAATACCTTATGTATTTAAGAAAATTTTCCTCTTATTTAGTCATTGATTTTCTAGTATAAAATCCGACATCGATACTTCCATTTCATTACGATCTATCCACAGGATTATTCTCGATCATTTGACTATACTTTTAAATGACTCAGAATGATTTAATAGTTCAAATCCTTTAAATAAATATAGATTTTTTAGTGTCATACAAATAAGATACTTATATTTTCTTACGAAAAAAGAAATTTATTTAGAATTACAAATCCACAAAAAAATCTGAGTCCTAACTTTTTTTTTTCGTATGGTTTTTTTACGTTGGTCAAGTTTATTTTTACTAATCGTTAAAAATTCATCGAATAAATCGATTTGATTTCTGGAACTCGAAACTTCAGACATTAAAAGCATAAAGGTTGTTGTTTTTCTAGTTTCTCGAATGGTGCTTTCGTAAATACTTATTCCTTAAGTTTAAGATACAAATCGATAAATATCTGAAACAGTAAAGAACGAAACTTTCTATTTTCTGGCCAAAGAATTCACCAAGACGATACACAGATCAGAACTACCTCTTAAAAACTATATTATAATTATAAATGTATACAAATATAACAAAAACAATATTTTACACTTTATTTGCTTAAGTGTCATGGGTCACTCGATGGATATATGGCATCAAATTTCTCGATGTAGGTCATCGAATCGAGTGAAGTCTAAGGACATTAAGAATCATAGACCATACACCTATATCCACATCGAAACTCAAATATAGCCGCAGATAATCTGTTAGGATTGTGTAAACAAAGTAAAATCTCTATATTTATTTGGTATATTAAGATGGCTTCTATCTTTTGCAGTAAAATGTGCATCTCCCATATTCCGCTAAACTAGAAAAATTCTCAATTATTGAATAATGTTATGCTAATCTGAAATACTAATTATTTCATTTCATAAATAACGTTAAATACTCAACAGAATACCTCCATTTTGATGTTGTATGCAACTTCGTCGATTGATTCTATATTATCTTAACTCATTTAATCAGATTAGATTTGCGATCTTTTTTGATATTAACCGAAAGAGCGTACAATGATATACATGTCTGTGAAGTGAACTCAATATCTTCGATTTGCAGCATATGTGACAATCAGTGGCGTATACAGGATTTTTTGCCTTATGGGCAAACTTCGCTTACGTAGAAAAAAAACTATGGGCAGTATGGGCAAAACTTTTATTGAAGGGCAAAAACTATTTCAATCCAATAAAGTACCAATAACGTGACAGTAGCACAAAAGGAATGAAATGAAGTTCATTCAACGACTCTATAGTATTAAATATGATTATTTTAATATTACAAGAAGTTTCTTTTCACGAAACAAAAAAATAATAAAACAACATTCTTTTAACAAAAAAAGGAAACATGAAATAATGTTTTTTTCGAAAACAAAATGAAATAAAATGATACTTTTTTTATAAATTGAATTAATATTATACTCATATTATGATTATAAAAACACGTATGTTTTCATTTACTTTGAATATATTTTTGTACAACATTTATTCCATTGTTTGCACACCAAATTCAAGACGACGAGTATATTTTTGACAATACATTTTTAATACTTCATCTGCATCTATACGAATATCTTTATGTATATATGCCATTGCCAATCCATTTAGCCTGTTTTGTTTCATTGTTGAACGGTAATATGTTTTGATTGTTGATAACTTGCTAAAACTTCGTTCTGCTGAAGCTGTTGACACTGGTAATGTTGCTAAAAAAATCAATAAAATCCGAACATTTGGATAAAATACGTTGTCCACTTCTTGAATCAGTTCATTTATCCATTTTTTTCTCCAGCCATCATTCATTTTAAGTAAATCAATGCATTTTTTTTGCCATCTTTCCAATTCAGAATTTAATTGCAATGGTGATGGTAAACGATCAGCAAATTGTTTCGATAAATGTTTTGATAAATCCAACAAGTTTTCATGTACAATTAACTCTGGTCGCAACTTACTCAATAAAACAATTCGACCACTTTTTAAACTAGATAATCGACTCTTAATACTGTTAATTAAGTCTTCTAAAAAAGGTAAATAAACGTGATCACAATAAAATTGTTCTGGATTACAAATTGGCACATTTTGTTTTCGACAATGTAATACTGAATGACGTGGTATAGATGGTGTAATGAACAATTCTTTACATAGTTCTTCAGCATGACTATAAACAACATTATGAAAATAATCTTGAGCCTGATGTTTTCGTTGTTCAAATTTATGTAACAAGTCATCGACATATTGATTAGCTGATGAAAAATCCAATGTTTCAGTTTGTAGTAAACGACTAACTGGAACAACATCCGATAATAAAAAACATGAAATACAAGTTGAAATAATATGCTGAAAATTATTTATGGAATGGAACAATTGTTCAGCTGCTGGATTTTTCAATTTTCCATGTCTAAATTTGTCTAATGTATTAACAATTGGAATGTATAATTCTAAAAATGTTTCAATTGATGTGTTCCTGTCCACCCACCGAGTTTCACATAAACTAAGTAAACGTTTTTTATTTGTTAGGCAAATATATTCGTCTTGATAATCCGTAATTTCAGATCGAAGAGCTTGCATTCGTTTTGGTGAATCTGTAAAGAAATTAATGATTTCCTTGATAGTTCCCACCATATTACGAATGTATGAAATGCTGCAACTATCAACCAGTGATAGATTCAGGCAATGATTGGAACAATGATAATATTCTGCATCTGAGCATTTTTGTTTAATTAATGCTTGACAGCCTCGATAGGTACCGGCCATGTTGGAGGCCCCGTCATATGCCTGACCTACACAATTGTTAAATGGTAAATTGTAGGTTGTTAAATAATCAAGAATAACATTAGCTATTGTTTCACCAGTACACGAAATAGTTTCTATAAATGCTAAAAAGTCTTCTCTTATATCATGTGTTTTATTATCGTAATATCGTATTGAAAGATTTAATTGTTCGACGGTTGATGTGTCTGTGGTTTCATCAACAATAATTGAGAATAAACAATTTTTCACTCGATGTAAAACTTCATTTAAAATATATTTGTGTATACAATCAATAATTTCATTTTGAACCAATGAACTTATGTATAATGCGTTCTTGGGTCCGTGTTCTATATGATCACGAAGGAGTTCGTCGCCAGCATCAATACGTTGTTTTAATAATGCAATAAAATTTGAGCCAGAATGAGAATCAATACCATTAATAATTTTTCGTATATCATTTATTGTTTCTTCACAGTGGCCACGAATGGGAATATTTTGACGTGCACATGTAATTATTATTTTAATGATTGATAATAATATTGTTTTATTACGATTGATTTTGTCAAATCTGTTTTTATCAATTAATGATGAAATTGATAACGATGGATCTTTATACGTACGTATAAAATTATCTGTAGCAATTGTTGAGTTCTGATGAAATTGAGAATTAATATGACTTTTCCATGATGTACTGAAATGTTTCAAATGCTTGTATTTATGACAGGGTGTATCAACAAATAATTCTAATTTTTGCCCTTGCACGTTGCGAAACAATATACAATTTATGCAATAACTACCTTCAATATATGGTGAATAAACAAGAAATGAATAATTGTTTAACCAATTGATCAAAAATCGTCGAGAATGTTTATTATCATCAGAATATAAAATTGGAAACGAATATTTTCCATTGGGTTTAAAATGATTTGTTAATAGAGAATATTTTAAATAATCATCAATTGGTAATTTATTGAATAAATAATAACCAATATCATTCTTATTGGTGTCGGGTCGAGAATCGATTACTTTAAGTTCATTACTTTCCACCCCAAAATTAGCTTCGTCAGTTATATAATCTAAGTCTTCAGGATCATTTGATAAAAACAAATTAGAATCCTCATTCGTGCTAATTGTCGCAGCTGCAACTGTATTTGAATTTGATGTTGAAATTTCAGTGTCACCACGAATTTTTTTGAAGAAAAATTGTAGCTTAACAATGTATTAGATCGCTTTGAATTCGACATACCTTAGTATGAATGTCTTTTAAAACAGAACAAAAAAAATGATAACTGCAAAGCAGCGTAGCGTATATATATTTGTTCTTTTTTTTCTTTCGTCTTTTGTTACGATATACTAGTATGAAATAAGAAAGAAGACGCTAAACAGGACGGAAGAGGACACAGGTCATTTTGTTTCATAGACGTATTATAAGAAAAGATGATAGAAAAGAGAAAAGAACAAGTAAATGTGCCATTGTACACTCATCATTTTCTTGATCTGTTTTGTTCTGTTAATTCTTCACATAAAGAAGAACAAAAGAGTGTATATATATGCCTAATGTAAGTAGAAGAGAACAATGCACTTCCTATGTAGACCAAGATAATTAAATAATTTTGAAAAAGTAAAATCGCCATAAACAAAAACTAATTGACGAAATTTTCAATGGGCAAAAACTGAGTAAAGAAATTTATAGTGGGCAAACTCCAAAATGAAATGGGGAATTGAGGATTTGTAGTGGCTGGAGGAGAG